CCTTGTTTCAGTCAGACACGTTTGAGCGCTGCACAACATGGAGGACAGAGACTAGTTAGTAAAATTACAGCTATGCAGCAGGGAATAACGGCCAGAGTTAATATTAAGACACGAACGTAGTGGAATTCAGGTAAGTCATGAAGAAAGACACATTTATAAATGTATGCTGTCCGTTCGAAGCGTTTTGTAGCCGTAATGCTAATGTTTTGCTTGTTAGCCTTTCATGACCACTTCACCTAGAAGTCATCTGTGTACACACACAAGGTTTACGATCAAATTACTTTAGTAATATTTTCTACGCACGTTCTTATACACGTCTGTAAACGTTTTGTAAAACAACTAGCGACATACCGGCGTGGTATTGTTAAAACATCGCATTTAGCTGTAGTCCTTCAGTGTATGTGGCATTACTATTGACATCTGTTGTGCCCACGTGCTGACAGCTGAAACACTAGAGCAGAAAGTCATGTCATGCTTGGATCCCTTAAGAAATGATTATGTTTATATTAAATTATTTAGCTAAACTATTACTTTATATATGGGTTGTGGAGCAACGAGTAAAACATCTAATTAAGCCCTTATGTGCTCTCTGTGATGTTCAGGACCAATATTGGTGCTGAGATGTTTCAAAGGTCTTTCCTAAAACACTTTACACGACTCAATGTATGTTGCTGTACGTGTCTGTTATCATGACTGCATGCTGTTTAGACTTATGTCGTGTTGAAAGTGATACAGAAATGATACTGGGATCAACCTAGTAAGGCTGCTATTGATACAAAAAAGTCAGCCTGGTGTTCATTCAGACATAAAGCTGACATGTTCAGAAGGGGATGTCTGTCTGAAAGAAGCTTTTACTTTTGGCATGTACTTTTGGCTCCACTAAAAAGTAATTTAGATTTCTATTTACCTATGTAACAGATTTCTTCAGTAGCTATGACTACATATAATTCAGCTCTCAGCTGCTGGTGGGTAGGTGAGGTGCATTTGCATAAATCTGCTTGGTAATCACACTGGATGTTCTTTTCTCAGTTAAAAGGCAGGTCTGAAATCCACAGGGGAGGATGTTTTGTGTCCAGCTGCGGCCATGGCTTCAGCCTGGGGCTCGAGTTTGTGCTGTTACTCAGCAGTCCATCCATAAACTTGCTTCGCTCCAAAAGGCCACAACGCTTCCCCCAAAGAAGATGCAAGGCCTACTTTACCCCTTTAGCAGGCTGGAGGGTTATCTGGACAGGTACTGTGGTTTGTGTCTGGATCTGTCACGTGTGACTAGTTTACCACAACTGACAAAGAAACATTAGATCTTTCATATGCTTCTGGATCCTTTAACCCAATGACACCAAAATTTCAGGTCTGTGGACAAAACACAGTTCCAGCTCTTTCATCCAAGTTTGGAGGACATGGTTGAAGCAGAGAAGCTCTTCTGCCCTTCACCGTCTCACAAGATTGATTTCTACGTTTCTGCAGAGCGGATGGACCATGTACCTGCACTCAAACAACCAGAGGTTAGTGGGCAACCGTAGCCAAACTATTTTAAAGTTCAGTGCTACCAAATTTATTTATTTATTTAAGTTTGAATGTAATGTATTTATATATTTTCTGTTTAAAAAATAAGATGTAGGTTTAAATGGGCTGTTACAAAACATTGTGCACTTATTGTGTGCACCCCTTGTTAACTTCCCATCATATACCAACACACCTGTGGTAGTGGTGGTGGAATGGGATTTTTTCAGTGTCAGAGTTTTTATCCATCCATCCATTTTCTATACACCACTTAATCCTCACTAGGGTCGCGGGGGGGCTGGAGCCTATCCCAGCTGACTTAGGGCGAAGGCAGGGGACACCCTGGACAGGTCGCCCAGACTTTTTATTCACAACTGTAATTATTTTCATTTCTTAAGACCAACTAGACACAAGCAAGGCATGAGGATATAATTCATGACAACTTGTCAAGGAAAATACATTATAAATGAATAATACTGGAATGATTGTAACAGTGTAGTGTGTTGTTGAACAGGTTAAATTTTCCCACCACTCTCAGGTGTAAAATTCTGTCAAATTTCAACAGGCCTCCTTATTTTGTTGATGGTTCCCGCTTTAAGTTATCTGATATATTCTGAAAAGGGAAAAGTTTGAGTTTTCTGCTGTGGGTTGGATAAACTAGACATTTTAAGATAGATTGACTGACCGTCCAAAATGTAAGTGTAATGTTATGGGGAAGTTTTGTTGCTTCAGGGCAACATTGAAGGAAAGAAGGAAACATGAAAGACAACTTCTAAAAGAAAATCCTGAAGGAGAATGTCAAGAGGCAGTGATCTCAAGCATACGAGTAAGTCCACCTCTGAGCAGTTAAAAAGGAATAAAATGAAAGTTTTGGAGCAGCGAAGTCAAATCAAGTCATCATTATTATCAGAGCACATTTTAAGCAAGTCAAAATGCTTTCCTGTTGAAAAATAAGATTACTGTTACAAATTAACCTAACAAGTTTAAATGTTGAGGGTAAGACCTCACAGCGTTATTTATGACATGAATTTACCCAAAATTATATAAAATACAACGTCACACCTGACTGTAAAAAATATGAAAGCTAAGACCCCACAGTGATATTCCTTCTGGAGATTAATCTGACGAACCTGAATCTAAAGTCATGACCTACGTAAATAGTTTAACTCTAGTCAAAGTCTGGACCTGAACCACATTAAGATGATATAATGGGACCTGAAAACCACAGCTGATGCTAACAAACTCTCCAATATGACTGCACTAAAACAGTTGTAAGTTGGCCAGAATTCTACCACATTAGCAAGAAAAGAAGATTGATGTACTGTTATCAGAGGAGTTTGGTTGCAGTTGTGGCTGCTAACAGTGACACATGTAGCTATCACATTTAGAGGATGACTTAGGTATTGGATGAACTTTTTGCTTCAACAACAATAACTACAATTATCATTGTAATATGTGTTTACATAAGGTGTCTCATGTTGAATTTAGGTTGAAGATGTGACTCAGTCCGGTTTGTCATTAGTGCCATTCGACAGACGTAGACTTTGGATATAAGCCTGACATTCACCTGTCTTGTGTTTTGTTTTTTTTTCTCTCCTTCTGCTTTCAAAATCCCCTTTACAACAGCAACAACCTCCAAGCAGTATTGATAAAGATTTGAATTGTGCAGTGAGGCAGCACTGCTTGGTTCTTTCAATGAATAGCACATTTTGATCATAGTGTTCTCCTCCCTGCATGCAAATGTTCCATCAGTTCCCCTGTCGCTATTTTGCAGGGGCACTTTCGCTACGCCCTTGGTTTGGTGCAACTCAAGATGGTTGTGATTGATTTAAAGAAATACAAACAAGCCCAAGCTTTATCCCTCTAAAGCAGAATGATAATGAGAGGTAGCCAGAGCAGTCTCCAGCAGTGGCACTGTAGTTAACACGGACGTGACTTGTGTAGGTCTCTTAAGTAAACCATCTGTAACAGACAGAAAACACCAGTTACTACAAACAAAATGATTGTTTGGCAGGCATGACAAAACTAGTGCAGTGTACCACAAATAGCTTTATGAAGTGGAAACACTTTGTGTTTGGCGAGACAATGGGAGAGTGATCATACTTATGAATGGAGGGTTTTTAAGTTACTTTTTATTCTGTTTGTTCAATTAAGTGTTAGCAGCAGGCACAGCTGCCAGAGTGGCAAGAATAAAACTATTTCATTCTGTAGTGAGATGACACCCCACACAGATGAAGTGGCTCAGCTCTAACAGGAGAGACACCATTCAAAGTTTTATGGTATTTTAGTATAATGACAATAAAATTCAATTTAGCCCCTTTAGTAGCCCATCCTAACCAACTAAATCACTCAACACACAGTCCGTTCTTTATTGCCCTAGTTTCATCAGATGTCTTACCAGTTCAGAATAATTAAACCGATCCCAAGACGGCGAGGATAGTCTTTGTAGTCCTGGAACTGGCCTCATCAGTAACTACTAATGAACATAGAACAGCTGTAAAAGAAACAGAAGGTGGTGTATGTGAGTGAGCTCTACAGCTTTAAATATGAAGTTGCTCACAGTGTCCCTCCTCAACTCAAAAGAGAACCACCCTGTGAAAAATGTAGCGTAATGTGTCTTTACCCTCCTGCAGCCTGATACATAATTAAGCAGGAGTTGACATTTGATAATAAATGAGCAGATTTATAACCTTACGGACAGTAGTGTTCACCGGAGGGCCTAGAATGGAACATTGTGTTGACAGGACAACGAGATCTCTTTGGCATGCCAAGTTAGTTACCACTCTGCCTCTGTCAGACAGTGATGTATTTGCAGCTCACTGGCAGCAAGAGCCACCATCCATCTGTCTTGTGTCGTGGAGATAGATGAGCCCGAGCTGTGTCCTGTGGGACTTGGCGGTCATTGGTACTGCAGAAGCACAACGATGGCAGCCAGAGCAGGTGGTTCAGTTAAATCGTTGAATGAATTCAGTGAATGAGTCAAATATGAAAATACAATGAGAAAAAATATTCCAGGACAAAAATCATGTAAGTAAATGGTAGTATTGTATAGTAGTATGTACGTAAATTAGGGCTCAGAGATTCAGTGAATTATTAAATACAATGCTGCAGAATACGTGAACTTACTGCAGGAATCTGTGGGTGATTCGTCTGCTGGTGTGTATTCCTAGGTGTGTTTCATCGGCAGAAGCAATGTGGGCAAGTCATCTCTCATCAAAGCTCTATTTTCCCTGACTCCTGAGGTAGAAGTCAGAGTGTCCAAAACCCCAGTGAGTATTCTGAGCGGATGAATATGTCTGTTATATACAGCTGGGAAGTACGGGCAAAAGTGAGGTGGAAGGTCAGTAAATGTGCTCACCAAATAACTATTGGCCCAATTGTTCCGACTGATTTTCTGTCATTCTTTTGGCCTGTCTGAGTTTAGAGAAGTAGTACATTTCATTGTGTTGTTTTGAAGGGGTCTTGAAAGATTTTAAAAGTTTTCATTCAGAGAACACCGTAGAAACCGTGTTCTCTGCAAGAAGTGATTTATGAGCAGTTTGACACTAAAAGGTCATTTTTATATTCATCTGCTGAAAGTATAGGTTTCTGGGTTTACCTTTTTGAAAGTGACTCCCAGCAGAATATGGAACTTCCACCAGTGTGCTGTGGACACTTGCACAAACTCTGACCTTTGTGTATAACTTGTATCCAGTTACACTTTGAAGTAAGAACATATTCTGGCTTTTTCAGCGACCCCAAAGAATACCAAACTTGTAACAATCATGTATAACGTGGGAGTCTTGAGTTTTCAATGAACCAAATGCATGATTGTTTTTTGTGACAAAGATGCATGGGTTTCAATGATGCCATTGCAGAAATGTCAGACTTTTAGGAGTCATTGGGAAATCAAGACTGGCGTGATTATGCATGGTCTTTACAAGTGTATATAAACTTTTGTTCACAGATGTATATATACCTTTCCAAGCAGGTAATTTATAGACTGATGCAGTGAAAAGTTATACTTTGTGCAAAAAAGGGGGTTTGAAGAAAAGAATGTAACTCAAAGACTGGAAAGGATTCTGTGGTTGCAGACTGCTTGTGTACATTTAGCACGTTGTCATTAAGTCCATTGTCATTTGAACAAAACCTGACCTGGACACAATATCTAGACTATTTTGAGCCCGATTGAAAATGTTGAGAATAAAATAATAGAATATTCTTATTCATATACAGTTGTATTGACTATAAAGTAGTCATAACATTGAACTACACTGAATTTAAGTTAAGAAGTACACACACACACACACACACACTGATGTTTTTAGAAATGACTGATCTGTATAGAAAAACAAATTCATTTGACTGGTCTTTTTTATTTTTCCATTTTGTTGTTTTCCATGCCAACCTTTTAAACTTGATTTGTTCTTCTCCTCAGGGTCACACAAAAAAGATGAACTTCTTCAAAGTGGGCAAAGCGTTCACCATGGTGGACATGCCCGGCTATGGACACAATGCGCCGAAGGACTTTGTGGATATGGTGGAGCCTTATCTTTACACCAGGAAAAAGTAAGATATCTACTGTAATGTACTGACAAACAGAATTAGTAACCTTCATACACACATAATCGACATCTGGAGGGTCATACTAACCTTGCAGTCATATTATTTATTTTGCAAGGCTAGTGCATACTTAACAGTAATCACACCAGCATTAGGTAGCAGCTAATTTGCATCTGTCGTCATATGTGTCATAGCATAAAGTATGCTACAGAAAAAGGCCATTACAGAACTCCTATGAATATATGTCTTTGGAAGATGAAATTCACGAACGAAGATCACTCTTTCGGAAAGACAAAGTTATGATTGTCTGGCTGTGGTGTAGTCTTATCTACGGTTTACTTTAAATATTTGTATGCGATACATCAACTTACTAACACGTTATTGACTGCCGTTCAAAAATACAACATTACAAATTATTCTTTATACTAAACTAGCCAGTAGAAATGGCTGCTAAGGACTAAGGCATTAATTTGCTGAGCTCTTTATTAGGAACATCATGGTAATACTGGCTCTTCAAACAGTCTCAGTTCTTGATGTCATGGATTCCACAAGATGTTGGAAACACTGCACAGAGATTCTGCTTCACATTGACATGATTCATTACATAATTTCTGCTGATTTACGAGCTCACATTCATGTTGTTAGTCCCTCGATCCTCCACATACCAAAGATGTGCTGTTGGATGTCGATCTAAGGGTTAGGTCACTGAAACCCACTGAACTCATCGTCATGTTCATGATATCAGTTTGAGAACGACTTTTGCTTTGTTAGATTTTTAGTAATGTAACTGAACAGACAGAACTGTTAAATACTGAATTTCAGATGTTGCTGTGATCTGTGTGGGAACAGAGTGCATGTTTAAAATGTATGTTTGTGTTTGTAAGTGATTCTGCTCATTTGTGCTTGCTTCTGTCCTTGTTCTTCAGTGACATGTTGTAAGGTTATTACTTAACTCTGTGACGTATCCAGAGATGTCAAGGTTGTAGTATGGCGCTGTGTAAATAAAATTGAATTGAATTGAATGTTCTCTCTCTGCCTTCATCAAGATGTTCTAATTCTTGAGTAGGTTTGAGGTATAAAGCATGTGTATGCCGTTCAGAAGTTTTTTACCACACAGCAGCACCCCCTCAGTCAAGTTCTGATCTAGCCCTAACCCTAGCCCATGTAAAGGAGCAATCAGGTTATTGTGACAGTAGCTTTACTGTACTGACTATTCATGATAGTTCATACTGCAGGCTAAATACCTGTACCATCAACAACTAAAACATTATTAATTGTCATTCATAAAATAAAAGTGTTGTGAGTATAGACTGAATTTGAATTTCTGATTCTCTGACACTGCCACAGTATATATCTATTTTAAGTGATGGAACAGCAGACAGCAAGGACAAGGTGCAGCATATTTTAAAACTGACTTGTTCATATTTGACACTTGAGATGCTGTGTATGTGAGTAATTCTTCAAATCGATGCCAGGGACAGCCAGCACATCTTGTTTGATAAATAAAAATTCTTCTCATGTATTCTTCCTTGGAGATATACGTGAGGAGCCACATTAGCCAAATGTGGATTGCGAGCTGGTCCACGAGGTGATGCTGTTCAATTACTACAGTCATTTACGGTTCATTTGCGTTTTACAAGTGCCCCAGCCTTGTTGATGAAATCAGTTTAAGAACCTTGAGATAAAGATCATCAATGAAAAATGAAGGTGAAAAAGCCCTAAGAAACTTGGCTAACATGTTTGTTTTCTCCCAGTCTGGTGAGGACATTCCTGTTGGTTGATGGCAGTGTCGGTTTGCAGAAGGCTGACCGGATTGCTCTGGAGATGTGCGAGGAGACAAGGTGTCCATATGTGGTATGAGAGTCACATTTTGCTTTTGTCGTTGTTGTTTTGTAAATAGTAAATTCAGGTGAATATCACAGGCATAGATCTCCAAGGAAAGAATTAAATAAGATCTCAGCTCAAAAGCAGAATATACGTATTATATAGTATGTTTTTAGTACTTTTACTTCAGTAAAGAATCTGAGGAGTTGCTCAGCCACTGCCCATCTCTGTATGTCGAGGTAAATAAGCATTTAATAATGATATGAATTACAGTTTTTCTCAGGCGCTTTGGAGCATTCCTCGAATGATCCTCAACATTTGCGAAACAGTGCATTTCTCAGAAGAATTCGTAATGAATAGCAAAACACCGTGGATTACCTGCAAAAGGCAGTTACTTGCTCAAAATCCTTAGTTCATCTCTCAAAACTAAATATCTGTGTCAATGAACATGTCAGTGCCATCACAATGACAAGTCCTTATGTCAGTGTGTATGGAGAAGGCAGTCAAACTGTTTAGTCATGTTGTCAATATACCAGTGTACTCTGGAGGGATGTTCTGATGTAAACTATGGCCAAAGTTTTGATAACAATTATTATAAATTGTGAG